TGAAATATAAAAGAAAAGATCTACAAACGTATTAACTAATTAATCTACACAGTATTACTAAATATAGTTATATATGTAAAATGTTAATATTAATATAGGACATTTGTGATCGAAATTGTAAATCTCAGATTTAGAGTGATAAAAGTATATAAAAATAAGAAAAAGAGAATAAATATGATTTTTAGAATATAAATATAAGATTTAGGGTAATAATATAAAAGTGAGATAATTATACGATTGGATAAAAAAATAATATTGATCAGGTGATAAATGATAAAAATTAAGAAAAAGGGAATTTCATATAATCAAAGAAAGATTATCAAATTAGAGAAACTTATGTTACTACGGTAACAGTGTGACATTTCCAAATGTACTGTGCATGTAGATATGTAATAGATTCCTCCTTAAAATTAAATTGCTTATTTTTGAAAAATAGGTGCATCTCAAAATTTTGCCTATAAAATTACCTTTTATGCTCTAACAAAAAATGTTGTGAAATCATGCTATAAATGTCTTTCTTATGAAGTTTCTGTTGCAATTGACCTTTATTTCGAGAGTAAGTCCTACAAAAACTTGAGTACTATACTCTATCATTTGGCTGACAATTTTCGAATCTAACATCAGCAAATAAACAAGAAATTATGGATGCATGAAACTATGAATTTATCCTTTCGTTCAAAGTTAACTTGTGTCAATTACTTATAGAAAACAGAAGCCGATTTGAAATGAGCACATCAGGAAGATTTTATCACGTGATTTCTGTAGAATATAAACATGACTAAATTAAAATGCTATGAACCTTCAGTAAAATCGCATGACATACAAATTTATATTTATGTAAATTTATATATACGTAGCGATAGTATTATGTGGAAAAATGATATAGCATTATCACTGTAATTATTGCCACATAAAATTATTAAGGATTTTAAACACTATTATATAGATGCTATTAACCATCATGCGGCTGTAGCTTCAGCAATAGAACCAGAAGGCAAAGAGGAATGTCAGGCGATGACGAAAAGGATAGAAACGACAATAAAGCAGACATGTGCTCATAAAAGTATTAAGAAAGTTTCGTCTGATGTAATCTGTGCTAAAACTGAGATATAAACAAGAAAATAAAATTGTGTTTGTTTTTCGATCATTTATGCTTATAGACATCCTATATTATAAATTATATTTCCTATATCAAAAGCATTTTCGTTTATGGTTTGTATGACCAAACCATAAGCGATGTCAGATTTTTGATACATAGTTTTGTGAACGTTCCTTAGATTAATTTGGTAAATATCGATATGGAGCAATCCTTGAGGTTCAATATAAGAAAACCCTTAAAGGAAACAAACAACTACATGTACTCAATGAAGTCACGCATCAACGTTTTTGTCTTTTTTGACAAAATTAATATAAATTTCGGAAATTTAATATTTACAATACAGTATTTTTGTATGCCTATTTCTTTTTGAAAATTTCTTTTTGAATGCATATAATGGTTTAAGAACTTTAATTCTATTCTATAAGAGTAATTATTTTTATTTAAAAATTAATAAGTATATTCTTATTGTTATAAATATCTTTTATCAATAATTAATGATGAAAATATTTTGCCAAAAGAGTTTTTGAACTTCAGAGTTCTTGGTTTTTTGCTTTGTTTATTTGTTATTATATTTAGTATTCTCCTTATTACAAATAGAATTAAAATAATAATTTATTTATTGTTATTTAAATTATCATAATAAAAAGCTAATGATATTTTTTCTGTAAAATAAACTAGTAGTATATCAAGTCTTTTTCTTTAATTATATTAAAATTCTATCGACTTCTTAACTAAGAAGTAAATCCGATAATATTATCGTTATCGGTTAAATTTTGTATTTATTTCTTAGTTAAGAAGTTGTTATAATTTTTAGCATGAAACATATTGTCGATTTAAGAATTCTTTCACCATATTACTTAAAATTGATTCATTTACCCTCGCTTGTGGTTATAGAAATTCTACATAGTATAATGGCTTTAGGGTTGTTAGTAATTCTTGTATCATAGCATACTTCCAATTTCAGTGATCATGCTTTTAGTACATTAACCGAAATATAATATTATTGTATGTATCAGCGAAACTTTCCAAGTAAAATTTTGCTGTATTTGCAGACGTAATTGTTGACTAATTTTTCCTTGACCTGAATCAAATTCTTCATTATTATCGTCGAGAAATAGTTTCTAAAAAGTATCCAATAAGGCGGATGTCTCCGCGTGATCAGACATTAGCTGTTTAAAAAATTTTCTTTATTTGTCGATTCTGATTGAAGAATGGACTTGAAGTTAAACATGCTTCCATGATATCGCAATAAATCCAGCAATGGAATTTCTCAATTAAATTGTTTAGAAAAAGATCATTTTTTTAGAGTGAAGAGATCTGCCGATTATGACAGAACTCATGAATGTCACTATTTTTAAGATGGTGGCAAAAATATTTCAGCTCAAGAACAGTTTATCTCGGCTGGGACAGAATATTGGAAATGGAACTCATAAAAGATTTCTGCTGGAAATATTATCGACTTATCGACCACTCTTTAAACGGATTTAACTACTTTCTTTGGAGACAGTTAAATCGGTAGGTATGCAAGGCATGTTTATAAAATAAGATTCACCAAGGTATTTGCTATTAAATTTTTGTATTCAGATTTTTTCGATGATATGTTATTAATATTGCCTGGTACGATAGAGACGAGCCATTAGTACGCGTCAATTGCATAAAATATATCAGATATTATTTAAATTTATATAACGATAATAGTTGCCAGTTGATTATATAGTTATAGGGTGCTAGTTAAATGTTTTCAAACTTATTCATGAATCAAGAGAAGGGATAAACAAACCATTAATTTAAACCAAAATAAATATTATATTATTGCTATACGGGGGTGTTGGTTACCATGTGCAGGATCATGATCGACCTAAACCGCTTCACTATCAGTAACATCGCCCGCTTTACTGTCACCAGTACTCGGCTTTTCGACATTATTATCTTTCTCCTTCAAATAATTAGTTTCTTTAATACTCAACGCGACAACCATCGCTCCAGGAATCGAGGCAACGAGTAGCATCCAACAAACAAGCAATTGAGGAAGAAATGCGGTGCCGACTGCGTCGATTCGCCAGGATATTGCGCCACCAGCTGATTGTATTGCTTTGTAGAATCTATATACATGTACATGTAGTGTGACGAATGAAAGAGATGATTAACGTTCAAGCAAATGACAGTTCGGTTTTCATTCGTTGCCAAATTGGTGCCTTGAAATCCGTAAATTGTTTGATTGGTCACGTTTTTCTGTCAATGAAATCCTAAACTTACCCGTTATAACGTGAAAGTTGTGCTGTGTCGTTGGTTAATGCTCCCATGATCCAATACGCGTACAACTATAATATAATTATTTATGAGACATCTGTTCGAATTTTTGGTTAAAAACGTGAAGATTAAAACAATTACCTGAAACATTGCATCATTCAATCCATAAGCAATATAAAGAATGCATTTTTCCGCATACCCACGATCGAACAAGTCCATTGGCGTAACTTTATCACTTCGTTTATATGTCAATTGAAAAATCAGTCCGCCAATCCAGGTAGCCATAAAAGTCACGAAAAGAATAACTAGACCGAAGATTGCTCGTTGTCGTCTATCGAAGCGCGTGGTATCTAGAAATCTTCCAAATATTAATGCACCAAATATTTGCGCCGCCCAATACCAGACGTCGTTGAATGCTCGCGTTCGTATGTTGAAGTAGAATCCATTTATACCGTTAAACTATCGTACATTATGTTTTTTATTATATTCATGCATGTAGTGGATTTTGAAACAACGGGATTAAGGAAGTTGCATTACCTGGTAAGCGTAAAACCAATTACTCGCCATAAACATTGGAATCAAACAAATCATTCGCCAATCAAGAAATAATTTCGCAATCTCGATTGCTTCGGAAGACCATGACGGGAATCTTTCGACTGCCACAGGACGTCCATCTTTATGAAACACCTTGCTTGGAGGTAACAATGCCAATGCAAAAAGTGATCCTAAGCCCATCAACACTAAGAATCCTATATATGTGCCGTCATTTACTGATCCTTCTTTTGAATTCCAATTCAATGCTAATGGAATTATTGATCCGAGCACAGCACCTATTGAAATGTTCGAGGAAATTTGAATCAGAATCTAATAGATGATATTTGCTTCGAAAACCAAAAAAATTTACCTAAATTAAATATTCCCCAAAATATCCCAATATATTTTCCTTTATTTTTCTCGGATGGATAAGAAGTCATAATGGCACCTTCACCAGTCCAAATTAATGCAGCGCCTATTCATTCAAAATAAAGATTATTTGTATATTACTTTTAATACAAAATATTAAGAATAATATATAAAATATATACCAAGACCAAGCAAAGCACCAGCAGCAATAACAAATGAATCATTTTTATTATGATTATAGTTCAGTAAAGAGCCAGCATACAAAGCGTAAGCAGTTCCACCTATTGCCATCGCATATTTCGGTCCTATTATATTGACAACACCTCCGGCCACTAGACCTCCAACTGAGAATGTTGTGTATAATGCTACATTTGCATTTGATGCCACTGTTGTATCTAATTGTCCACCACCACCCATACCTATTTATTTTATAATTAATGCAAGATATTTAATTACCTAATATGAGAAATTAACTGTAATTTGATTCGGTGCTTACCATTCAAGGCATTAAACATCCCCGAGGTGAGCAGTAAGATAATCCCTATTGAATAATTCAACTTTTAGTCTCGAATATGCGAATTAGAAACAAACATTTGGACCAAAAGAAAGAACAAACTCACCAACAAGAATCACCTGCACCAGTGGTCTCGAATATTGTATAGCCATCGCTCTTTTTTAGTCAAGTTTTGAATATGCAGAACTGTTTATAAGCCAAAGTTTGGCAGCAGCATCAAAACGCGTGTATTTTATATGTGCCAAGGTTCTGGCAGCAATATACATGTAACACAAATTTTAGTCACACGTGTCATACATGCTATTTACATATAACGATATTATTCGTTTCTCGTTTCTCGTAAGTTTAGAAGGCAAATCTGCTTGTGGAATTTGTTTTTCCCAGCAAACAAATATTAAGGAGAAAGAGAAAAAAAGAGAAAATAAACCTTATTATGACATCAACACTAAATTATCTCATAATAATTTCTTTATCATGGATCTGCAACATTGAACTAAAGCAATGAAAATGAATATCAATATGAATATCAATATGAACTTTAAAATGGTGTTCACGTGCTATTTAAAGTTGCAATATAAAATCATCTGACAAAATATCTAAAATTAAATCCAGTATCTGCAAACAACACTATTCCTCTTTCAAACAATGAATGAATTCACATCAGAACATCTTCAAATTCTCCCAAAACGCCTTATCCTCTACAAACTCAACGCTCTCGATCCTACCCTCTTGTTCTTGTTGCTCTTTTGGTGTCTTTATCCTCTCCAAACACAGCGCGTCGTACATCTGAATATGCAGATTTTGGTATTCCCGACGAGAACTTAATAACATTCGGCGATTTTTCTCGACCCTCTGTTTAAGCAAAGGTAAGCATACTCGTTGAAAGGGTGTATCAATTGGATCGTGAGTAAAGGGTTCCCACTTGTAAGTTGTTTCCCATTGCGGAATATCTGTTTGCAAATGGTAATTTTTGTTGTTGGCTTTTAGCTGCTCGACGTGTAGGAATTTATCAAGTATTTCTGGCCATTTGGATAGAGTTTGTTTAGTTCTCCATCTGAAAAAAAAATTAAATATTAAAAACTACAATTGAATTCTTAATAAATTAAAAAATATAAATAATTAATTGCTGACTCTGTTTCTGATTCACCGACCCATTTCACCTCGAATAATTCTTCACCCTATCATTTAAAAATATAAATAATCAGTATTAACGAAATCTTTATTAAATAAAGGATAATTACATTTGCATATGCCATATTTAAAATTCTATCCAGTTTTTTTTCAGCATAGAAATTTTTATTTTTTCTCTCGTTCGATTTTTCTCTAACCGGAGAGCTTTGGCGACTTTTTCTCTCGCTCGATTTTCCTCTAATCGGAAAGCTTTGGCGACTTTTTCTTTGATCCGCCTTTGACGCATTACGGTTTCTGACAAAAAACATGTCTGGATAGCGTTGTGGAGTTACTTGAGGAGAAGGAAGTGATGAATTATCCCGTGACATTTCGGAGGTATCTTCATTTCTGTTGTCGTTTGAGGAAGTTACTTCTTGAGAAGGCAAAAAAAAATTTTGCCATGAAGGCATTTCGAAATCTTCATTGATGTTTTTGTTACTTTTTGAAGAATCCCAATAATATGACATTTTGACTAAAATAATTAATAAAAGCTAATATAAAAACTTAAAGCTCATAATAACAATTAATACAAATTGTGAGTTTAATAACGTGCGAGTAAATGACGTGTCAATGTAATTAACGTGATATCATGTCAAACAATCAAAAATTTGTAAATGATATGATGTCATAAATTATAAGCGAAACTTATCAATTTGTTTCTAACACGTTCAAAATATAGACTCAAAAAGCCGACTTTAGAATTCCCTTAGTGCCTCACCATTTCCCTAAAGGCACCTCGAATCATTAACCAGTGTTGGCATATGATCTATGACCTACACGCCTTATCAAAAGTATTCGCCAAATAAAGTTTTGGAATTGAATAATTGAATAATTAATATTGTTTCTAATAATGTTTCGTATGACATAAGGATCTGCGCCCATTCTTGCAGTGATTTTCAAGATCACCAAGATGTTTTGTTCTCCTTTAAGATTATTCCATAAGTATTCAATAACGATAGGTTCAAGTCGGGAGAATTTTAATCGATTTTTCTCCTATTTTTAATTACAGATAATGAAACAAAGCAGTGTTGACCTATGTATGACCAGGCATAAATGATCAATCAAAATTCAAAAGTCATGCTTTTTAAATTGAACTATGATAAATTGCAAGATTCATATAATGTAAATCAACTAAATTTTTAGTCCTTAAAAAATGGCAAGTTAGCAATATTGCCGCCGATTTTATTATCTTTAATATTACAACATATTTATTCTGTGTTCACTCAATGAAAAGAAAAGCTTAACGTTAATGTTTCATAATTTCATTATGGATAGTATCTAATATGTGCGAGAATTTTTTATACAGTGGGGGACATTATAGATGGCATCATATCAAGTGTTATTAAAAGAATAATTTAACAAACTGATAGCTGTTTGTGAAATTACAATTTTGGCGTTTACTAATATTAATACATGTATTAATGTATTAATATAAAAATAAAGAATTCTGATTGGTCAGATTGATTATACATGTAACATGTATATAAGATCTACAATTCAAAATTGGCATTATTGGATATCTTATCGTTATGCTGTACGCACATGTACGTATTTTTATTTAGCATAACGATAAAAGAGAGTAATTACATGTATTATTTTTTCTTTTCTTTATACTAATTAAAATTAACTATAATAAATTCTGTTCGATATAATATACATAATATACTAACTCTCGATATATAATTGATTTTGACAATTTTTTACTAACGCTACGGGTAATGCGAATATCAGTATGGTACGCATCACGTGTATAAGATGTCCATACCATACAGAGACCCGATTTTTTGGCACATTTTTAATCTTGAATTAACTGCGGTATTGATTCTTTTCTGGAGAATTTCCTCATAAACTATTTCCTCGTGTCAGGGTTGTGCTTCCATTACCCGTTACCGGATTACTTCCACTATCCATTACCGGATTACTATGTTGCGGTAAACGGACTGATGCAATTTGTGATACATTTCCCGAGGAAGTTCTTCTTGACACGACCAAATTAACTCCAATTGCCGAGGCATTCTCTGTCTCAGCATATCCCCAACTCGTTCCATTGACTCGTACATCTATAGTAGCAGCAGGTGTTATTGAAGACGACTGCTGCATTTCTCTACGATTTGCATTAATTTTTGCTTGAGACTCTTTCATCATCTTATCGATTTTTGTGATCATTTGCTCCGTGGCTTCTCTTCCTGTACGGCAAATCGCCAACTTTTCTTTTAATTCCCTTCTTCCGAAAAAGCCAGCACCCCTATACGAGAATTCTATCGCAGATTCCTCACGTGTTAGTAATCCAAGATCAATCGTGCGAGCTGCAATATATTTCTTGAGATCTTCTTTCGGTTCTGACATATAGATGATTGTCTTATTGGTTGCAATAGAAACACAGAGGTTGACAAAGCCGGAGCCTTCGATCTTATATGATATAAAAAGGTTTGATTTGTAAAAAAGGAAAAATCACTAAAAATAACGCAATCAGAAAAAAATCAAGTACCAAATTGTCATCTATTCCTATTTCTCGGAGTGATGTGTTTTCGCGTAACGAGTTACTCAGCTTTCTAGCGCCTTCATCACCAAAATGATTGCCTGTTAAATCTAATTTTTGTAATGTAGTATTTTTCTTTAATCCATCCAATGCTTTTCCCAATTTCGGACCAAAACGCGTATAATCTCTCGTTGTTGCGTTAGTAGCGGAAACATCTTCACCAGCAAGATTCAATTCACGCAAAGTGTTATTCTGAGAAGACAGCACTTTTCTAAATGATGCGGCGGTCGTATCATCAATCTCCCATGCCAAAATTGGAAATGAAAGATCCAAAACATTGATGACTTGATTTGAACACAAGCTCTCTAGAAAAGTGCGGAGTTGTGATTCACTCCATTTTACACGCGATAAACCAAGCCAATTAGGTGTCTTATCATTTGCGACACAGTTAGAGAATTTCTCGAAATCCGGAGTAGTTTGATTAATTGGGTTTCCGCCAGCCAGTAATCGGATATCACGCCGCTTATTCTGTGCTATTGCCTCCAAAATTTTAGAAATATTCTCGCCGGATAGATTGCAATTTTCCAAAGCTAATGTCTTCAGATTTGCCGACATATTACCGCTGCCTATGTATTCAGCAATCATGAGAGCAGAATTTGGAGACATTGTTGTCCCAGAAAATACGAGGTCGGTTATCGTGTTTATCTTAATTTTGGGTAAATTAAGAATGAAATTTGGATTTAGAGAATAACCGAGTCGTAATACACGAATTGATCGAAAATGCATAAATATATTATTAAGAAGACGGGTTTCAATATTCAAATAATTCCCATTGAGATCAAGCAATTCGAGTCCCGTTGGAAATCGAGTAAGTAAATTTCCCAGCACATTATTAACAGCCTCTTCACGTAAGCTATTTGAAGAAAGATCCAAAACCTTGATTGGTTTGTTGTGTACTTGAATTCCTTGTACTAATAATGAAATATCTCGAGAAGATATTTGATTACCGCCAAGATGCAACATTTCAATCCCGGTTCTTTGTGATTTGAGCGCAGCTCCAATCGCAGATAATGTTCCTGCGGCGGTAGATTCCAAACTTTTGATATTACAATTTGAGAGATCCAATTTGATTAGTGTGGTACTTCCCGATAATATGTAATATAGTTCCATTAGCAAAACATTCATCGGTGTATTTGGAAAGATTGTTGCTGCGATTTGATCTTGATCAATCGATTGATCAGAATATGGATCGATTGTTTCCAACGCAGTTATACTTCCACATTTGAAGATTATTTCATGAATCAATAAGTTGTGTCTCATTGCACGCAAAATAGCCAGTAATTCATTTGCAGTATATTTAATATTTGGAGCAAGAATTGTTATTCGTATGCCAGGAGGAGATATTTCATTGGCTGGTTCAACTCCATTAGCTTTAGTTGAATTTGAGCCATTTTGAAAAGCAACAAGATTCGATTTTGTTATTTTAACCGATATACGCTCACGTTTAACCCCATATGATTTACAAAAAGCTTCCAATAATCGATTAAATCCTCCATCTGAAGAAGTAGCATAATCGGATTTTTTTGTTAGCGATCCACTTTTTATCGTTAGTGGGGAAGGAACATCAATTTGATATAACGGTTGTTTATACCAAGGGGTGAGAGATTTAATTGCCGTCTGAATTTCCCGTAGGATTAATTCGCATGCAGATGATGCAATATATATGGTTTGTGATTTTTCATACGGTTTTCGTATTGTCAATTGTATAGTATCATCTTGACCTTCCAAAATTATATGAGATATCGATAGTAATCCAATTTGTTGTACCTCGTTATTTAAAGAGAAAATAAAAAGATTATTTTTTCCCAAAGCCAAAGTGACAATTTGCCTTTCTTCATGAATTTTATTCGCAGCCATTACACGGAACATCACCAATTTCTCTGATCTTTCTGGTAGTTCGGCTTGTAACATTAATGTATCGGAGACTTTTGTCTGAAGCTGAGGCAAAATAATGATTGGGCGTGAGGTACGAGGTCGTATCGTTTTACATAAATTTATGAGCCATTTCCGGTGTTCGTCGGCATTCTCTGCTGTAAATGTTACGTAACGTAGAACTCGAATTTCCTCATTTGGGTTATGATGTTCATAGTCAATTTTGATTTGTAATCGACTTGAGGATGTATGTACGGCCAATACATCATACAGATCAAATAATATATATTTCATAGGCACTTTTGAATTTTCATTTCCATCTATTGTGTTAAAATATTCGTGTGCACGTCGATAACTCTTGAATCCTAATACTAAGTTTGTCGTCAAAACTACGTATTCTCGACGCTGTCGTCTATTCATGTGTCCACCACCTCGTATTAATTTACCTTTACATATTTTTGTCATATCTTCTCTTAGCCCACTTTCTGTAGTTGATGTTGTTATTGAATTTTGACTTCGACATCGAGGAAGATTCTCAGTCGACATATTGTCGCTGTAATCACGCAAACTATCATCCTCACTATAATTAGAAGTATTGGAATCATGCGAATATTCTGACATCTTTTTCAGTATATCGATATTATTGTGATTGTTATTTTGTTATCGTTATTAGTTTTAATGTTAATTATTAGTATTCGCAAAATGAAAATTCAAGTACGTAAATATATAATGAAAAATGCGTAGTTAATATACTTGTACAACACTCCAGAAATAATATGGCCAATTGGAATTCAGCAATTTAACATGCATCCTTTTCCTGCATTGACAAAGACAAAGCATTTGGAATTTGTGGTATCATTATCGTTATCATTATACATATGTATCCGCAAAATGACTAAGATAAAACTAAAGTAGATGAATACATACGAAAAATGATACTTTCCTATCATAACTTTTGTGAGATAACGATAACAGAAAGCGTGTTACTTTTTAGTTTGACACATTGATTGCGACTATCTATTATTTCAGTGAAAGAGTCTCGAATCGCTATTTTTTTGTTTATGAATAACATTTATTAGTAGCATTTATCGTTATGAATAATATTTATTATGATTAGCATTTTCCGATATAACGATAACGATAATAGTTAAGGTTTTTATTTACGGTTTGATTTGTTTACGTTTACACATGCACACGAATAGAATGATTGATTGATGTGCGTAAACTTGTGTTTTCTATTTTCATTGAGAAGAGAATAACGACATTGAGAAATGCTTGAATGACTACCATTTAAGCAACAATGATAGTCAATGCTGATTTACGTAGTAAATACGATAATAACACGGAATTCGCAAACAAATATGAACTACACCTCCAATAACACCTTAAACATCTCCCCATTTTCTTTCTTATCGAAAACTTTGTACGTATTAATCGCATGCTTGAATAGGTCAGTGAATACCTGACCGGATTTTAGGATTTCAAGAACTTTTGTCTCGTATGCTTGGGTGTTAATGATTTTCCCTATCAAGGAATGCTATTAGTGATGAGCGGTAGTAGTTTTTTTTTGGGAAAATGAAATCAAGAATTTCTTACCACCACCACAGCCCAAATAGGGAAATGGTTCATGAGACCGAAATACATTCCTTCATGTATCGGACACTAAATCTGTGGATATTTATAGTTTGGGGGTGATTACATACGAGGTTGCCACAGGTGAACAAAGTCATGACACACCAGTTTGTATGACATATATGATGGAATACGACCTACGATACCAAATAATGTTACTGGATGGTGCAAATTTATTATTGAAAAGAGTTGTGATCCTATTCCAGAAAACAGACCAACTGCTGAAGAACTTTGCGACTTTATCTGGTCTATCAACAAACTGACAAGTTCATTCAATTGGGGGGGGGAACTGAATACTTTGCATTTTCAGTACTTCAGTTCTTTTGAATATCCAAAACGCATGAAGAAATTAAGGAGTGTCTTAAGCTAGCAAAGCAGAGATGGAAGAACTTGATGAGATGAAAAGCGTTTTCACAAATACACACAAGAAATGCATCCAAAGCAGTTTACACCTTTACCATAAAATTAATTTTTAACACAGGTACAGTGGCCTCCCAGAATATTGTAGACACTTTTTAAAATACAATAATGCAAAAACCAATAAAAAAGCAAGATTTATGATTCTAAGCTAATAGAATCATTAAAACATATTGTATATTATATCAAAATTTCAAATGATTTCAATAACTAGTTCAAAAAATATATAATATAAAAACTAAACTTTAGTATCAAACTGAAATTTATGTGAAAAAATATTATTTTACAAAGATGCAAATAACTTTGCATCCAGCAAATCAAATCAAATATAATTTTATCAGCAAATACTTCAAGTTAAGGCACATCTAATAATATCAAAATCATTCAATTTGGATCACTAAATATGGAGATATCACATTTTAAAGATAACATACAAAATCAGGATAAAATTTTTTGCAGAAAATAGCTTTTTTTGAATATCTCTGCATCCAATTAACCAAATTAAATGATTTTGATATCATCAGGTTCACCTTGTTTAAGTGAATCTAGTGATATCAAAATCATCCAATTTTGGTCCACTGGATGCAGAGATATTTGCAAAAATAATTTTTTTATCCAATTTTATACTATATATTTGAGACATTATATTTTCTTCATCTAGTAATTCAAATTATATGATTTTGATATCATTAGATACATCTTTACTTGATGAATCTGGTAATATAAAATTATTTAATTTGGTTTACTAGATATGAAAATATTTGTATCTTTATAAAATAAAATATTTTTTTCATATAAATTTTCAGATACTAAATTTTATTTTTTATATTTATATATATATATATTGAACTAGTTATCAAAATTACTTGAAATTTTGATATAATATACAATATATTTCAATAATTCTATTAGAATAATAAATTTTACTTTTTTATTGGTTTTTGTATAAGTGTTCATAAAATTCTGAAAGATCACTATATTTGTTTTCTTTTTAAATATAAATCATATTAACCTTTTATTAAAATTCATATTAAATATTTAGAGTTGACAAGTGTTAGTTTATTTGTTCTAAATGAAGACAAAATTGTCTGCTTTGCTATTTTGTTGAATTTATTAATTCATTTTTATTTTTTTCTTTTGGATTACAAAACAAATTTAGATAGAATTAATAAGAATAAAATATTTTGAGTTTTTTTAAAAATAATTATAACTTCATAATAGAATTATAAAATTATTCATGTAATTTTATTAATAAAATATAGTAAAAATTGAAATTTTTGAATTATATAAAAGTTTTTAATTTTATTAATAAATATTTTTTATTTGTATATTAAAACAAAAGTATAAGTTATAATTTAACATATATATTTTTGAATTTTTTCTGACAAAATTAATTTAATTACAAAGTTATTACAAAAATTTTTTATAATTAAAATGTAAAATTAATTATAAATATTTTTGCCATAACTTTATAATTAGATTAATTTTGTCAGAAAAAATCCAAAAATATATATATTAAATTATAACTTATACTTTTTGTTTTAATATACAAATAAAAAATATTTATTAATAAAATTAAAAACTTTTATACAGTGGCAATCAGAAATAATGCAACGACATCAAAATTTACTAATTAAATATAGTAAAATGCGTATTTTTCTCTTTATATAAAAGTTTTCAATTTTACTAATAAATATTTTTTATTTTTACATTAAA